TCCCTTAGGGCCTCACTGACAAGCCTCCTGAGCTTGTCAAAGTCGGCTTTCCTGAAGTCAAGGACTTCCGTATTGCTGACTGACTTGCCAGCTTTTCGGTGGATAGTGAAGGTGATCAGCTCATGGTCGCTGTCACCCAGCTTCCCATCAATCACTAGGTCGCCGACTAGGTCATCCCCAGTAGCCAGTACCAGGTCGAGCAGCGCTTTACCTCTCGTTCGCCCACAGACTTCTTGAGTCAGGTAGAGGTCATCCACGCATGAGAGGAAGCTTTGCGACCACTTGGATTTTGCTGAGTGATCCTCCCACGAGATGTCCGGGTAATAGACATTAGGGCTGGAAGGGACCTCAAAAAAATCATCAAGTCCAGCCCCCTACCCCAGAGGCAGGAAGTCTGCTAGGGTCAAAGGCTCCCAACAAGATAAGTATCCAAACATTTATTAAAAGAGTCCAGAGTAGATGCCTGTGCCACCTCTACAGGGAGTCTATTCCAGGCCATGGGGGCTTGGACAGTAAAGAGGTTTTTCCTTACGTCCAGCCTAAAATGATCTTGGAGGAGTTTGTGACTGTTGGTCCTTGTCATCCCTTTGGGCGCTCTGGTGAACAGACATTCCCCCAGATCTTGATGCATGCCCCTTATGTACTTATAGGTTACTGCCAGGTCACCCCCGAGCCTGCACTTTTCCAGGCTGCAGAGTCCCATGGCTCTCAGCCTTTCTTCATAAGGCCTATTCTTTTGCCATGTTGAGGAGAGCAACATGCAAGTTGCTGTCCTCTGGACTCTCTCAAGATTCTCCACATCCTTCTTAAATTGTGGAGCCCAAAATTGGATGCAGTACTCCAGCTGCAGCCTCACCAAGGTGGAGTACAGTGGGAGAATGACATCCTGAGATTTACTTGAAAAGCATCTATGGAAGCAAGCCAGAGTTTTGTTTCGCTTTACCAGCTGCAACATTGCATGGGTGACTCGCATTCATCTTGTGGTCAGTCATGACTCCCAAATCTCTTTCAGCCGTGGTGCTAGCAAACGTAGCACTGCTGAGCCTATAAGTGTGATGCAGGGGTTTTTTTCCCCCTCCCAAGGTGAAGTACCCTGTATTTTTCAGTATTGAACATCATCAGGTTTATATCTGCCCACTTTCCAAGCCTATCCAAGTCAGTCTGGATC